AACATATTGCTTCAGTTAACGTCAAACATCTAAACTGCATCTATGTGACTTTGTTTGCGTTTGATTTTGGAAGAACCCAAAAGGTTTTGAGGTGAGAAGCTACTGTTTTCTCTTTGGGATTTCTAAACTGCTGACAAGGAATCCAGTGCAGGATGATCTCCCATCACAACCTTCCAGTGCACTCATGCAATGCAGCAACACAGCGGCTCTGTCACGCAGATAGCAGACATGGCCCTGCGTTGACCCAGTAAGCGGCGTGAGATCATGCTGAATCACAACACCTTGGATTGACAGTGGCAGCTACAAATACAAACCGTCTCCTCTAACCTTTGATAAAGTCAAAGATTAAAAACAGCTCATTCATTTCAAGCACTAAGATTTAAGCAATACAAACGGATGAAATAAAAAACAAAGACATTAAATCTATACAGAAACCATATATGTACAGAAACTATGTGATGACACTGCTGTTCATACTTTACATGCCAATGTAAATTGTTTTAAAATATGCTTGTCTAGATTTTAATCTTCACGTGTAAAAAAAAAATGAAAGAATTGCCTTGAGGGTGTTGCCTGAGTGACAGCTTTGGAGGAGATGTGCACAACTTTATGTAACAGCAAAAAATGTCTCCAACAATATGTCCACCTGGAAGTGACTTCCTCCAAAGCTGCTTTCATCACAGATGATGCAAATTAAAATCTATATGTCATGTGATGCAGAGATGGTAATGTCAAACGTTGCGTTCCAGCATCATTAGAATATCAAGGTAAACTCAATTTAAAGAATGTCAACTGCCTCCAAGCTTGTCATAAAGCGAGCTACGATGCACTTTGCTGTCTTTGTCGATTCAGAGTGGGGCAGGAGGGGCAGCGGCAGGAGGAGCAATAGAGTCCCACTGATGAATAATTTGTCTGTTTACTTCTGAGTGACACGGTGGGGTCTAAATCAAGGGGTTGCTGTCATGTTTTTCCATAAGAAAAGGGTGTCAGGAGAGGCATCGCAGTGAAGGACTGCTGTTCCGGCAGTGTGCCCAGTAGAGCTGTCACTTCTTCCTCAACCACAGACCAGAGGGCCTGGCAGCGTGTCAGACGGTGTCATCATTTTCATCTGACATCCACACGGAAATTATCTCTCATGACCTCTAATTTCTTGACATTTCAAATGCCTTAATTGTTGTGACTAATGCCAGGTTTGCAGTTTCACCTGTCGGGCCCAGAATGAATCAATACCTCAGAGTCAATCAGCATATTTTCAACTGATCTTAGCGTGACAGTCACTGGGCAAATTTCCACGCTCCACCTCCTTGACTCATCCAGGGGAGTCACTGGCTGGTCCAGGTGGGATGGAAGGAGCAGTTAACAGTGATGGGAACAAAGAACACATCAGCAAGTTTCAACATGCCGAAGTTTCTTAAACTTTTTACTGCTGGTAAAAAAAAAATTAAATATTTTAACACAACCAGTTAGATGTGCTTTGTGATTTGCATTTGAAATACATTTCTGATAAATACATACCCATTACATAAATGTAATGCATGAAGTTATTGTACAAAATAAACATCAGTGACCATACCTTTACAAAACTGTCCAAACAAAACGATTGCAGAATGAGACGGCATACTTCTGCTAAGGTGGGGGTAAATCTAATTTTTGTATTGAGATCTGGGTCAACATAATTAAACTGTAATCTGCCCACCCTTTGGTCAAAACATAATTAAAGGTGCAGTGTACAAGATGTGGTAACAGTAAAAGGCAGTAATGCACTTTGCATCACCCTCTCCTTCCAAACAATTTGTATGTGGTCAGAGAAAATAATAACAGCAATAACAAAGAATATATTGAACACATTATTTTTGTCTCTACTGCTTTAAAGAAATAATAAAACATAATGTTGGACAATGAGAAAGACCCCACGCTATGTTTGATGTTACAAATTTAATGTGATTCTGCCTTGTTAAAGATTCAGTCACAAATACTGTATTGTATTTCAACTTAAACGATAGTCATTGAAACTTTATTGAACAGTGAAAAACATAATAATCATAAAGTATAAAGGCTTTCATGTGATCATATTAAAAAAACTGGATTTAGTAATACATTTACAAATACAATTACTGTATGTCTACAGGGAGTCTGAATAGCAAATTTACTATTGTCACCTCAACAGTCACAGACTTTGTAGCCAGAATAAAATAAAATAATCAAGGCCTTGCCAGAAATATTTTTTTTTAAATAATGAAAATCAAACCTTTCACAATACAGTTTGGTAATTAGATGAGCCAAATCTTCTGCAGGTGATTTGCATAGTGGTCACTTGATAAATAAAGGCGCCCCTGGAAGTGACAGTATATAAATGAGTTGTTTTGCAGACAGCAGATGGTGAATATCACAGGGAGGGAAGAGCTCACACTGGAAAGTGCCATGATGCATACCAGCTGCTGCAGTCTCTGGTCCCCACTTCTCTTGCAATTAAGCTATTCAGAAGCAGCACAATCAAAGCTAAAAGTTATCCAATCAATGTGTAATAAAAGAAGATTCACCCTGTAGTGTGTGTGACCTTTACTGACTGATCAAAGAGCTCATTACAAATATTGATCTGATAAAAGAGAATTCAAACAATTAATAGGATTCTGATGTTTGCATCCGTAATTACAGTAGATTAATAGTTTATTATGAACAATAAGGTTAATTTTAAGTTATCAAAAAAGAAAAAGAAACCCACTCTAATCTTAAAAACAAACATGGTGAATCAGCAATTCAGACAGTTTTTTCTCACGTTGCATTTACTTGACAAAATAACTAACAGATTGATGATCTGGAAGCTCCAGGAGCTAAAACCTATCCAAGGACAAATAGACACAGGAAGTAATGTGCATAGTTAATATTAGACTGAGGGAACGGTCGCCATGGCAACATGCATGAGTGCGTGCATGTGTATGAGCCTTACCTCTCTGAGCAAAGGGTCAGTGATACTGTCCAGGCTGATGGCGCCCTCATAAGTCAGGTGGTGAAATACGTTGAGGGCACGCACTGCCTCCGGGCCTCGCTGTTTGTAGCCGAAAATAAGGTCAATCCACTGATGTAGCTGACATGACACAAACTCACTTTCCAGAGCCTGTCAGAGGAGTACAGGGCAATTAGAGGGGAGAGGAACACAGCGCCAGGGCCAAAAGACACAAAGCAAACTGGAATGACAAACACAGCAGAACACTGTCCATATATACTACACTAACACATATATGGATGTTACACTGTCATCAAATACACAACAAATTTTAACAAGATTAGTCAAACTATTCCACTGTGTGGATAGTCAGCAGTGAAAGTCAGTCATATTTTCTACATATTACTACAAATATAAATAACAATGGTGGCTTTAAATGCAGTGACATTGTGTAAAAGAATTAGCAAGTAGCACCAAAAAGTGTTGTCTTTTTTTCATTTATTTTTTCTTTTTCTTCCCCATTTTTTCCTTTTTTTTACTCTTTTTTCCATTCCAAAAAGTGTTAAGTCTTAAGCGACACATTCAGAGTGAAATTAAGCATATTTGGTCAAAACAGATGGTTAAAGAGAAACTAAACACACAGAAAGTAAAAAAAAAAGCTCAGTTTAGAAATCTTCAAATTGTATTGTATTTGTTTTCCTTTTTTATTATTTTTCTTAGCTTTTCACTCCTATTGAACTGGCAGATTCGCTGTATTACAACAAAAGTATGCTCTGCAGTGGAGTGAAACCACAGGTTAAAAATATTTCGGATTGTGCAGCTATTTTCTGTGCAGCGAAAGTCGTTCAACAGATTTAGCAGAATGCAATAAACAAAGACGATCAGAGTCTGAAGAAGTTTCAAAATGGCTCAAAATAACAACAACAACTGATACTATGCTCATTAAATCACTGCAAAATGTAGGCTGTATCTTTTGGTCCAACTAAAAATAACTTTCATTCGGTAAAATAACTGAAGTATTTAACCTTTATACTGAGCATGAATATTACAGAAGAAGCAGACAAGATCCTGCCTATTAATTTAATGAGCCAACTCAGGGCATGCTTCTTATACCTCACTGTCCATTTAAAACAGGAAGACAAAGAATTTAATATTATCACAATCCATTGTCTGCAATGTCTGCAGATAAAAAAAAGTGGTTTAAAAACGAGACAATTTTTTGTGGGAAAGTTAGTGAGAGATTTAGAACAACATTTTAGACCCAATTATAAAGCAGGCCTACCTATGGAAACCATGCAATGGAGGTTATTGGATTGTTCCACACAATGGTACAACATAATACCCATGCACGCTGAGGTGAAGCTTTGCTAGAGAAATTTACACTCCTCCCCTTGCATCAGGAATAACAGCCATTACCAACAAAGCCTTCTCGAGCACACAGAGGCAGAATTTGCCACAGGGCATATCACGACAATTGAAAGTGGCACATGCAAAGATGGGAAGTGGGAGGAGGAGGGGAGAGGGAGGAAGAAAGAAGAAGAGGAAAGAAAAAAAAGAAAGTGAGAGAAAGGGGGAGGCAGTCAAAGAGATTCGCTGACAGAAATGAAATAAAAGAGGAAGTTAGTGTGGGCTAGCTAGGGAAGAGAACAAAAGAAAGAAAAAAATGGAGGCAGAGGACCATGATTTTTTGGGTGTTTGAATACACTGGAATCTAACAATGGAAGACAACATCACACGCATCAACAGTGTGAAAATATCCACTGAATTTTCTTTTTCTTTCCAGTTTTAGTTGTCCTCTTTTTTACTTCATTTTGGAGATGTATACGTGTCTGTAACAGTTCCTTGAGTCTCCCATTCCCCCCACAACTCTGCTGGTTTACAAGCCTGATAAAGCTCAACCAGGCAGTGTGGGTGGAGCAGGAAGAAAGGTCACCTGCATAAAACCAGCCAAACTGTGTCACTCCGGCTGAAAAGGTCAGCAGTGTTCCCACAGCGTTCTTTCACCTCAAGTCCAAAAACACAGTGGCCCCCTAACCTCAGGATATATAGTTTCTTCCTGGCTGGTTTTAGGGTAGAAGCTATTAATTTCACCTAAAATAGAAAGCATGGGCATGCTATCCAGGAACCACCCCGCTCCCTGCCCCACTCCCTGCCTCACCCTGCCCCCCTCCCTTCATTAGGAAATATATTTTTGCTGCACTGGGGAATAAAAGTTGCCAGGTCAGGAAACATGAGGGTGTTGCTTTTAAAGTTTAGACCAATGAGAATTGACTTTTCTTTTTGAATCTATCAGCTCAAGTTTCAAACATGAATTTTATAAGCTGTTTCGATGACCTAATTATATCTTAAATGTCAGCAGTTTTTACATAAATATAACCATTTTGGGAAATTAGACAATATCTGAAGAAATGTCCCAGTTGTCATATGGTTTTTTAAACCTGTTGAGAGTAACGTGTTGATGAGCTGTCTATTAAACACGTACATGCTCATGGGGGGAGTCCTGCTCCTTACCAACAGGATGGGCCCTTACATTGCAGCAGGTAACACTATACAAGTTGCCCTCAGCCTTGAACTTCAGTGACATTGTGGTTGGGGCTGCAGTAAGAGTATTGAGCGATGTGTTTTATTAGACAGTTCATGAATAAGACAAGGAGACCTGGATGTATGGGAAGGTTAGACTAAAGAACTGGGGATTGATTTATGTGCTGCTCTGAGGACAAAGAAAACACCAAAGTATAAAGTTTTATTATAATAAATGGTACAGTACTTATCACTTCTGAGTATGGGTTTGTGGGTTTTAATATGTATTATTATTATTATTATTAGTATATATTATTACAGTATATGTATATTCCAGCTAAAATATAAAAAAGGGCAATTGTTCTGTTTTAACTCCTAATGAACATAGCAGGTTAAATATATCTGTTAGTTATGAATATGTTAGTATTTCATGGTTTTTGCTAAAAAGGTTTAACTTTGTTTAATATTTAATCTTTGCTACTTTGGTTGATAGCGAGTGTTTAAAATATACTTTTTAAATAAACCATGGGGGATACTTGTAGTGTGCTTTGGGTAATCTTTCCTTCCATTTTCCAATAGATTTATCACTACTTCTTTTGAAAAAATGCCTCAGTATGCATTTTTGAATCAGCATTAAAATGATATTACATGATTTTTAACAGTTTTTTTAAAGACAGAATTAGAAAAACATTTACAAACATGATCTTTATCATTCTTACCTGTCATTTTGTTTAAGTAAAAACTAACTTTTTCTTTATACAAAGCAATTTTTAGATTTTAAATCCATGCAGGGTTTTTAAATGTTTAATGACTTCACATACATGTCAAGCTTCAAAAATCCSTAAATTTTGCAAAAAAAATCCATACAACTCGCACCCCCGGCGGGGGTGGGGGTCTGAACAGGTTGGAAGATGGCTCTTTGATGTTATTTATTGTTTTATAAATCATCCTAAGCAGGCTCCGAAATGTTAGATAAATTTGAAAATGAGGTTTTGAAAAAATCTGTAAGACTTGAAAAAATCCGTGAGATTGCTCTATATGTCCGTATACCTGCAAAATGACATAAAATCCTTATAAATTATGGACAGTCCATACACGCTGGCATGTATGACTATGAGGCTCACCATTCTGTTTATCCTAACAAGGTCTTCTGGCTTCTTGGCCCATGTCGGCAAGTCCACATCACAGATCATGGTCCCATCCTCCCTCATTCCGAGATGGTAGCCATTACTGTTGACAAACATCTCCGGAAGATAGTAGAATTCAGGAATCAGTTCCTGAGGAAGAGAAATGTTTATCACTAAAAAAAAAAGCCACAGTAGCCAACACAAAAGACCCGATACCTCCAAACATTTCAGCAAAGAAGAAAAAAAAACTGTTATCACAAAGCAATCAAAAGAGGGGAAAAAAGCCTCTGTATCCAACTGAGATGAAGTGAAAATTTAAGGGGAAAGGTAACACAAACAATCTGAACAGCAGGCCACGAGAAGGTCGTTGAGAGGTGCTAGTCCACTTATTCCAGGCAGAGGTGTTGGATGTGTTAAATGAAACTGGAACTGAGTTTGGTTTTTCTTCCCTGGTCTCTGGGCTCTTGTGATGGGGTCAGGACCTTGCTGTGGAGGGGAAGTCAGCTTGGTAAAGAAGTCCCAAATGTAAAGCCTGGTGTGATTTCTAACATAGAAGAAAAGGGCAAATATTTACCTAGGCCTTAAGACAAGACTATCCCAACAGAACTGTCTCCTTTATTCTTTATATTAATTGTTTTATTAAAAAAATTAAAATAAAAAACACCATTAATACTTTAAAACCCATAGAATTAGTTTAAGAAGGGAATCAATAATTTTATAAGAATTTCTTAGAAAATATATTTTTTAAGAAAGAAACTCTTCTTTGTCTGCCTGAAACTTTGACTTGTGAAATGTAAGATATTTTTAAGATAAATACATTGTTCTTTTAGAAGTACAACATTCTTATCGACTTCTGTTGTGGTTTATCCGTGATGAAAAAAAGTGAATAAAGCACAGCTGTTTTTGACAAAAGGACATTGTAGAATATTACTATCCTGTCCACAAATGTTCAAACCTTATACTGCTAACTGTGATAGGAAAATCTAAATTTCTAAAAATAAAGCTAACTGGTTATTAGGTTATTAACCAAATTAGCAATTGGTTGTTGCCATGTGGAAAAAAAACATGAAAATTAGACATTTCTGCCATTTTCCAGGAATGAAATTATAGAAGAAAATTCAAATCAGTATCTGAACACATACTGTATTATTTGTTTAGTTTTAGGTTCAGTGCTGTTATGGAGTTTTATTTTGCCTATGGGAAACAGCATGCAGAGGCTTTAGGCACCCATAAATCACCAGGTTTTGAGAGTCTGAGTTCCCATGACATGATACAGGCCAATAAGACTACTGGTCTGCAGCTGGTCAGATTTCACCCTCTGCACACGACAGCAAAGGCAGTAAAGGAACCGTTCCTTTTTATTTCCCTCCATCTCCCACATATGCAGCAATCGGCCCAACCACACTTTCCCTCCCCGTTTTTCTGCTGTACACTTCCTGCCGTAACTCACTGCCAAGCCGTTAAAACTGCCAGCTCCGTTTTCAAGCCACCCTCCCATGGTAGCCATTAATTCTGCAACAGCATCGTAATGGGCTAACAAGTCAATCACTCAAGCCTCCATTGCTTTACACTGTGTCACCTTAACGACATGTTTGTCAGAATCTGTCACCAGTGGAGTGCTGCTGGATTCCTTCAGACAACATAGTGGCAGTTTTTGTATGTGTGTGTGTTTATGTGTGTGTGGCTATATGCCCACTAGTTTAAAGAAAAAGCCTGCTCTCTTTGCCCACGGGCAGCTATACCAGCAAAGCAGGACTGTATGTGCACCCAAAAATAAATGAGCAGTTTGGAGCCATATTAACATTAATGAGGGGATGGTCGAGGAGGTGAGAATCCTGGTTGGTGCAGAAGGGTTTCCTTTTGAATTGCTGTTTTAGGAGGTCATCCCTATCAGAAATATAGCCTCTATATGCCTTGTCATCATTACTAAAGAAGGAGGTTGAGGTTAATGAAAGAGAGACCCTGTTTTAAAAAATAAAAAAGCTCCCCTTAAATCAGAAGCTCAATGAGCTGCTCTGTGATCTCCAAACTCACCTCAACTCTGGATTGCATTATGTCTTACCTCTGTGGTAGCATTAGAAAGAGTTATTGTTTAGCTATTTTATAGGCTATTGATTACAATTACTTGGACAAACAACAAATACGATGAGTGTTATTACAGGGGTATTGACTTGCAGTTTGCACAGCCTGCTCCCAGTGCAGCCCAAACAACCGTTTGTGGAATATTTTCCTCCTGAAATGCTGTTAGCAATCCGGCACTGTCCTTCACAGTACAATGCTTCTAATAGTTTAGCAACCGTCCTGTGTGTAAAAACAAATGCATGCAGACATACAAGTAGTTAAAAGTAGACTGTATTTGTTAACAGGGTGGCGTTTGACTATCAAGTTGTTCGCTGGTTCCGGTGTTCTACCTCTTGTTGGCTCTCTCCCCCAGATCCTGGCAAGTAAAAGGCCCTGCTGTACATACAAGACTACATTTTAAATAGCTTTTGTCATTAATGCTTTATTAATTGCCTGAGGCAACACTGCTCGACGCAGGGTGTGCTAGAAATGTATGACACTTTGAGGTCAGTGCGTATCCCTGCTGCGTGTTATGCAGTGGGCAAAATGAAGGCAAATCAGCAGGGTTCAGCATTTTTAGAGAGCGCTCTAAATCTGCAGAGAGGTGGCTTTGTTTTTTCCCTTCAGATGCTTGCTTTGTCCACTATTGTTCCTTTGAAACAGCTCGGTTTTCTGCATCAAATATACATGTGCATTGGGTTTAGGTGTGAAAAGTAAGTTTTTGCAATGTTTTTGTTTGATTTGGGCAGTTATGGATATTGGTAAATTATTTGCTTGTGTAGTTTACTAATGAGGGAGGGTTGGGTACAATTACGATGTAGCATCTTTATGCACATTGTATAGTTTTTAGTATATTGTTTGTCTATGTATTTTATTTACTTCTTAACATGTTTTACTATTAGACCAAGTCAAGACAGTTGCAAATGCTTCAAGAAGACAAAATCATACATTTCTGATTGTTCTTTGTGCACTAAGTGTACAAAACAGACCATGAACTTTACTTCCTTCTCTTAAAAAAATCTCACCTTTACATCAGAGGTGTCTCTTTGACAGTTTCTCCAGGAGCGGGCAATTGAAGAAAATGTGCGGTCAGGATGGTCAAATTTGTTTTTGTTGGCACTGAGGAAAAATGTGGTGAAGGGCTCCTGCAGAGAGAAAAAAAGAGATCAAACAAAAATCTGTGCTCAAATTTAAAATCATGATTGACGTAACTATTTTAAGCATAAATATTCTAATACACTTATTTAAAATCAATACAACCTTTTCAATTGCAAAGCTACTATTAGCTGTTACTGTAGTAGACTAAGGTTTTTTTAAACATATTTCATTTTTATTTAAGCCTGAAGAATAATTAATTAGTGTCATTTCTGAGTACATTAAAGCATCATAATAAATGAGTTAACTTTGCTTTTCTAAGATGGTGGTAGCAACCATTGCTTGTTGGAATAGATGGATCAGTCACCAGCGAAAGAATGGAGTTGTAAGAATAAACTCACTGAGAACAATCAAGCTGCTGATGAGAAAACTCCATCAGTTCATCAGTTCACTAATAATGGGGTAAGAAGGGATCTTCTCTATAAAGCTATTTCAATTTTCCAGGCTGCTTTAAAGCAACACACATGCCAGCTCAGAGAAACACAGCAGGGTTTAAAGGTCTGTTTTATATGGAACACTGGAGGTACATGTGCCTCCTGCTTCTCCTCCACAGTAAATGAGGACAGTGCTCAGTAACCTTGATGGACATGTCTCCAGCGCTCACTGGGTTGCCTGAAACACATAAACCTGCCACAGTAGCCTCTGTAAATCATTACCCAGCCACTCTTTATTTAGTTCACATATGCCGGTTTACTGGCCTGTGAAATGTGTTTTCTGAGCACCATTGGTCTAACTCAGACCCAATCAAATTGAAATGTCGAGTAGCGTCCTGCGCAGAAGCTGACAGACCTCAAAGTAACAGCATCATCAAGTCTGACAAGTGACAATCAAACATGAGGAGAGAAAAAAAAGCTGTCTAGAGTCTTAGTTTGACTAATTTTGAACACAGTAGAAAAATAGCAATACTCACTATTCTGACAAGCCAGTGCAGGGTGTTGGCAGTGGTGGAGTAGTGGGAGTCATAATGACAAGGTGGGATCTGGTCATCCTTCCACATCTCATAGCATTCAGCAAAAAAAGCTGCACGTTTTGGGTTTAATGCACCAACAGGCTACACAGAAAAAAAATTTAAAAAACAAATAAAGTCTTTGTTTTGGTGACTTGCAATATATATTTTTTTGACTTACAATATTTTTTGTGCAAAACTATTTTTCCTGCTTCAATGTAATGAATTATTCAGCTTTAGACAACATACTTCAACGGAATTCATTGAAGATAATATGAAAAAAAAACCTAAATTATAAATCATTTTAGACATGAAAAAATAAAAATATTTAGTCTCCTGTTCATTGCACTAAACAGTAAAGTAAATAATAATAAATAAGCATCAGACAATTTACTTTGATGGAACTCATTTAGGATATAACTAACTAAATTAAAAATCATTTTAGACACATGAAGAAAAAAAACATTTAGTCTCCTGCTCATTGTATTAAACAGTAAATAAAACAGTAATTTTTTTAATAAAATAGTAAAAAAAACTGATTCTGGGAAATTCACCAGAAAGTAAATCTAACAGAGGTTGATGGAAAGTTCAAATCAGACACAGAGCTTTACACTGGGATTGTTCCATCAGACCACATTATTTCTCTGGGCCTTAAAAAGGTCCTACTGCAGTGACTTATGTCTGAAAGTTAAAGAGTGAACAGGATGGCACACCAAGGATGAAGGAAAGAGACAGGGGTCTCCTGTTAAATGCTGTCTGTAATACTTGTAGATTAACCTTGGCTGACCTGATTCACCCCAAATACTCTTCACTAAACCAAAAACCTAACATAGAGCTCTTATCTTTTTATTTTCACGGCTCTTTTGTGCTTCTGAGAGTTGTAAATCAAAGTTCCCAAAACCTAAGTGTCAAAGTGATATAATCCAGGTCTGCAGAACTTAACTGACATTCAACATCAGCCATTTTACTATTTTTATATCTATAAAAAATTTGTAAAGAATTTTTTTTTTTTTTACATAGGATCAATAGCCAAGCCCAAAATACACCAAAGTTAAGACTGAAAACATTAATAGGGTTTAATTATGAGGATATAAAAATACAATATCGCACCTACACTTTCCCATCCAACCAATTATTTATTGTTAGACAGAATCTTGGATCATAACAAGGTTCAAGATTTAACCACAGGCTGAGTAATAACCTGAATATTGTATTGACACTATTGTAGGGGGGGTTTGCTCTTTGGCAGCTGTTTCATTTTCATGAGTTCTTAATGCAACAAAATTACTCCCATTAAATAAAAAGCAAATAAATTGCTTTTTCTGCATTTTCAATCACATCATTCAATATAAGAACCTCAGAGGCAAATTGGCAGTCAATATTAATATAGTCAGTCCAACTGAATCAGTAATAGGCAGGGGGAAAAAACTGGTAATGTGATCAATGGCAGCTTTTCTACCTTTCAACCTGCAGCTTGGGGGTCAAACAAAATGGAATGAAAGCTCTGAAATGAAAATGATCTGATTCTCATGTCTACAAATAAAGCTATTTTCTAGCATCACGTAAACTCTGAAAAAATAAAGTTTCTGTCAAGCCCAGTGAAACAGACCGACCGGTTATATCTGTGTGTGACAGAACACATTCCTAAAACTCTAAGTTAAAAGAAATGGAGACCTTTTTTTTGGCTCTTCTTTTAGATTTAATAGCATTCCACATCAGTGTTAGCACAACTGAATAGACTGAAAGAGAAGTTTATTGAGATCTACATAGATTTATGGGGTGGTAATAGCCTTGCATGTGACGTCTTGGCCCAGATGGATTGGGGTGCAAGCCACAAGATGTCTCACACTCCGTCAAACTTCTGCCCGTTGGACTAATGCAGCTTAGAGCAGTGCAGGAGAAAAAAAAATCCATGAAATAGATTTGACAGAGGGGGAAGATTGGTGGAAAAGGGAACTGTGAGTAACACTAGTGAGTGTAAAAACTACACAAACACTACTCTTATGAGATTATTTTTATTGTAAATAAGCTTTTACATTGAGATGTTTAAATATCAAAAAACATGTAAATATGAAATTATACACGTAATTTTGGGCCAGGAAATGTGTTGTAAAATTGTTTAGAGGAATATTGCTATAAGATGTATTACATGCAAAACAAATGTTCTTTGCTTTACTGTTGCCAACTTTTCCCTTACCTAAGAAACACACTCACACACCTTGATTAAGAGCCAAGTTACAGAAGAGGAAATCAAAAACTGACAAGGTATTTCCTATTATTTATTCCATTTGGCTGCACACAAATTAACCTAAAATGTTCTCACAGTGTTCCATAGTTGTTCAGCTGTGTGAGCATAAGTATAAAGAGAAATATGGTGTGCTGCATGGAAAAAAGCGTGCTTGTTTTGTTTACCCACAACACCTTTCATTGACAAGCAAAGCCATGCAATCCATATGGTGACAATGCTTAAACACATCTCCCACTTCACTAAGAAAGTCTTCACATAAACTGTGCATGTGTCATAAAAGCAGATCTACACCAACATTTCTTGAAAAGTAGAACAATAAAAATGCTAAAAACAGGTCAACTGATCAGCTAACAGTGTCTATAATTGTTGCATTAGATGTATTTTGTACTTATAAAACATTGCATACAAATAAGTGAGAAATTTAGTTGAAATGAAAGAAAGAAAAGCTGAAACTGCTCAGTTTAAACTATTTAATGTGATGAAATGCTGACCCATTTTGCATTAAAAGTGTTTATACCTTTTTCCCTTCACTTTTTCTTTGTTACCTATTTGTAACATTAGTAGTAACATGCAGCATTATCACACATGTTCTTGTCTAAATATCTGTACAATTCAAAAATACTTTATTGATCCCAGAGGGAAATTAGGTTCTGAGCTAATAGAAAAAAAAATCTCTTAAAATGAGTCATCTTTAGAATTACTACCAAAATATCCTGTTTACAAGAGCACTTGACTTAGCTGAGCAACTATGGAAGATTTAAACATTGAAGAACCCACATTATTGTTTTTGTGAAAATTCAAACATGAAATACAATCCTACCTCTAGATCAGCACAAAACCAGGACATCTTCAGACATCCTGGCTAAATGAGCATGGATTTAGGATATATAAAGATTTCATTTTGCATTTTGTAGACAAGTAACTTCTTTCTAAAACAAACTTTTGTACTGACTGTAAAGAAACGACTCAAAATATAAAGAGAATTCATTACAGAAAAAAAAAAAAAAATGATATATATTTTCCATTCTTTTCACCTGTGTAATATATGACCATATCATACAATTATTACACGTGTTTTGACCATTTTAAATGTTTCACAGACATAATTTTAATGGTCCACACATGAAGTTTATGGGATTTTTCTGCAAATAAATGATTAAAGTTGCATTTTAACTTTAATAAAAACTTATTTATGATATGAATAAAAGCGCACTTCAGTGGTTGTTTTAGACTTTTATATGTGTCATCTAAAAATTAATAAGTGTCATCTAATCAGTTAATAAGTCTAAATCAGGCAACTGTGCAACAAAGAATAATCACCCCGTCCCTTTCCCCTTGCACTGCGTATCACCATTGATCGCAGGTATAAGACAATGAAAGCAACTGCATCAGACAGTTTCACACATTCTCCCTTCTGAGTTCATTTCCTGTACAACACCTGACCCAGTGAAACACATCAGCACAACTAAACAAAGTATGATCAAACTTAGATTGGCTTCAGATTCAATCAGGATCATTGCTTGTGTTGCACGCCCAAACTACAGGAAATGAGGGCTCTTGGTAGGTGAATGTGCAGAAAGTGTCTCTCCCTTTGTTTGGTTATATCTAAGCTACCTCCCAAAGAGACGCATATTGCATCTTATATTTCAAAAGAAATTACATTACAGTATGTTGCCATGGTGCTCTGTCAGGACAAGTCAGAGTCGTTTTTGCTTGCCTTGTCAGAAGCAGAGCTGCATGGGGCTCCAGTCTAATGCAATCACAATGCTCCAACTCAAGATAAAGCAGATGTGCTCCCAAACAACCTGACTGGAGTGAAAGTGAGAATAAAAAAAGCTCATTTATAAAAAAGTGTAGGAAAGGTGTTTTGTTACGGCCAAGTTATTTCTGCGTTGTTGTGTTTTACAGAACAGACACTAGACAGTAGATGCAAAAAAATATATATCATATCTCATTTAACATTTAAATGTGGAATTTGTAGTATATGTTTAAACATAACAGTTTGAATTATGGCACATTGCGTTTTTAGTATATAACACAAGAATAGTAAACTAATCAAAGCACCATGTTCAGTCATCTCCTTTCGTTTTATTCTGCAATTAAATGGATTTCCAACGCATCATTTAACAACTATGAGGAAGCTTCTCTCCATCCACCACAGACCTGTCACTCCACCAAGAAATAATCATTAGAACTTAACGAAACACTTCATTGCATAAACGCATCTGACATCCAAATATGCAGAGGTCTGGACTCGAGGCTAAATTACGCACTGTTCAGTAACACAATTTACACCTGAGTGGATGTCCAACCAGCAGATAATTGTAGGTGTGTACAGGTGTGGGAGGACACTTTTTTGGCATTTTAGACCTTCAAGCAGTTTTAACAATGCTGTCCGTCAAGTGCCAATCAAAAATAACCGAGAAGTGGATCTCTGGTATGACTAATCTGTGGGAAAGAGAGCTTTGTGTAATGATGGTATAAGATTTCAGAATAAACCAGATCTGTTACAGAGGCTTCAGTCTAAACCTTTGCTATAACAACAATGTAACCAGTAATGTTGATACGACAGTTTAACATCACAATTCTGTAATTCACTGATACAGCACTGCTAATTTAAGATTATTCAAAAATATGGCAAACATGTACTAAAAAGATGAGAGCAAATATTAAAAAGGTATTACCAACCAGCAGTCGGCTTTAGGAAAACAAATGTTCACTTGAGAGTTTATTAAAATTAAATTAAAAAGGGCCTCTGTGAGGGCTTTCATATTTTATAATGTTTTATAATATTTTAAAAACATCTCAATTTAAATTATATACAAAAATGAAATTATGCCTGTTTTATTGAACAGACTTCTTTGATTGACAGGTGAGTTTGTGTGCGTGATCACTCCCTTTAAATCCTTAAAGCCCCAGAGGGCAGCAACTAATTGTTGAACTCAGTTTCAAAACTTTGTTCTACAAACGTGAGAGTGATGGTGGCAACTCATCTGACATACACACGTTTCTGAACAGAACAGAAAATTGAAGCATGTTTTTGACTGTTTATAAATGTCAACAAATAAACACAAATGTACGTGTGCATTTATATTGTTAAAAAGTAGTTTAAAGGCAGGGTAACAGGTGATACATAGTTTTGGTTAAGACAGAGCTCACCTTCCTGCACAGGTCTTCCATGTAAGGAAACCAGTCAGCCCTGCTATACAATAAACAAATCTCCAGAGACTTTAGTACCAACACTGATCCATAATTGAACAAAAGGGCAGAGCAAGCAAAAAAAGGGGGTGTGCAGAGGTCTCTGTCTCTCCCTGCTTTACTATCAGTGAACTTCTGGAAGAATAAGCCCTGGGGTTCCATGGACAACTGTCAGGAGACATGGGCTGTGAACCCATGCTAATGAAGGCAGCTCAGGCCTGTAAACAGCATGGGAGGATGTCACTGGAATACATTACAATACATAACTGTCTCCCCGGGGCAGCTGGGTTGAAAGTGGCTCGGCTCCAATGAACCACCTTCAACCCACACGTGCATCAACACAAACACCCAGCAGCTTTCTCCGTCCACCTGGACACCTTGCAGGTAAGGATGATAATTGTTGAAATAGACACACAGCTGAGCGAATAGTCCATGATGTTCGGTTTGCAAAATAGGAAGTGCTCTGGAATATTTTCAAATGCTAACTTTGCTTCCCTTTTCCAGTCTTCTAATTGCTCTCATTTTGAAGTGCACCTACATTCCCCATTACAAAACCCAATACCCATCAGGAAAACATGACTTGAAAAGCTGAAAATTTATACAAGCTGCTGAAATGTTGGATAAAGCGGGCTTCTTAGTCAGATTGCTGGTGCTTTAAGTGGAACAAGAGAGAATGAGGCAACGATCAAATGAGTGAGAGAGCTCAGACAGGAATGTGACCGTTTTCAGGTCAGTGAGCAGCAGTGTGCGGGAGCAAGAGACAGAAGCAGAAAAGAGGGGGCGGTAAACCAGTAAACCAGCCTATGGTTTTTGGTAGAGTGATCTGCTGCCTTTCCCCCTTCCAGTCAAAAAACAGGGCAAAATAAACTGCTGAACTTTACCCATCAGTGCTGCAGGGTATTAGAAACACAATGTCTGAATTCTTGTAATTTGTCAAATTCAGAACATCTTTAACATGCTTTGACTGATTATTAACAGTTCAGCAACTCTGTAAAAGTTATATGGTAGTATTTCAAAACTAAAAGGTCTGAAACAATTTTTACCTTAAGTATTAGTTTAAATAGTTTATACACTTCCTTGTAATAATAGCATAAGAGGACAAAAAAAAAAAAAAACCTTGATTGGCAGAGTTATTAAAAATGTGACCTAGCTTTTACTCAAATAAATACATCTAAGTGGCTGAATGAATCTTGCTGAAACTTGTAAATGGTACGATGGTGCCAAAATAAAATGCTTATATTTTTATCCAGATTTTGTACAATCAAGACATCCATATTTCTGGGAAAAAAGGACGGATCACATAAATTGTCAGAGGCTTTTTAATGCACATGCAGGGTTGTGAAAAAGTGTAAAAACACATTTCATTTTAAAGTCCAGTAAGCCTTGAGCAAACACAACATTATGAATAACACTGGAAGTGGTTTGTAAAAATGTTATCATTCAACTGGAAAATTGGGAAATTAGTTATAAGCAAAGAACTCAAACGTATGCTTCAATCATAAAAGTGTCTTACCTTATTTCAATGCCAGTGAACTATCTGATGCAAATTTTATTGCTGGCAAACAAATCATGTATGTCACAGAAGCCAACACACAAAATGCTTATTGAATCATGTGATGGCATGATGATAAAATCAGGTTAAGATTATCAGTATCTGTGCTTAGAAGACTCAAAATGCTATGAGTTGCATATAAATGTAAATATAGTGTATGTCTCCACAATTTCTGCCTATAAATAACTAAAGGTACTTACATTAAATCCACTTGCCCAAGCTTCCCCTTTCCTCTACATAATATTGTATTGTGTTACACAACCAAGAGGCCCCAGTACCTTTGAAAGATCTCTAAAGTTCCCTGGCAAGGTCAGGTCCAGCTCCTCAGAGTCATAGTTGGTGAGGACCCAGGGAAAGACTGGGTACTGGTTCAGGTCATTATATGTTCTCCCTGGGAACAGAGAGCAGACAGAAATCTGTGATGAAGGGCTGGAGGGAGACCAAGGGGTTGACAGAAGAGCAGGGCAGGGCACTTTGGAGCTTTGGTTACTTTGGGGGGGAATCGGCATGCAACATTCCAATAAGCCCCGATCTCTGAACTTACCAATAAGAAAGACTTCCTTCAATACTTCCATAAAGAGTCTGCCCAGAGAACATATACACTTACAGCAGAGAATGTGAGAATGTTTTCTGTGTGTCCCCTGACATGTGCTTGCAGACATGCCTGTCTCCAACACGACTGAATGGGGTTGCGGCAATATAGATTCATGAGAAATAATGTTTTTGATGTAATTTTAGTTGAACCATGAATTTGCTAGTTGCAAGCTTTATCTTTGTTTAGAAATCTGTAAAAACATGCTAAAATGGTATGGAAAAACTTATGAGTATAAAATGTTTAAGATAACCCCAAATACACAAGTGAGACTGCAGATGCAATTTATGGATAAAATAAAGCTGCTTTAGACAGATTGAATAAAACGTCTACTACTAATAACATATGTTGTTTTTTTTTACTTCAAACAAGCTTCAGTCAGAATTGGCTATGATTACCTTTTTGTTTCAACACAGCCTGAATCTTTTTAGGCATTTTTCCCATCTCTTCAAGTATTCTTGATGAAAAGTCCTTCAAGACTTTCCAAAGCTTCTCATTAGGAGCCTTTTGTTTTGTTCTCCATCAAAATGAGCCCTTGCTGCTTTAAAACGCTTGGGGTCTGGGCTTTAGTTTGGGCAGTTTATCACTAATAAGGTTCTGTCATATGTTTTGGATCAACTATGACACATGTAAACGTCTAAATTTGGAAGGTTTTCCTGCTGTTTTGTATGGAGACTTGTAATTTATAAAGTTTTTAATGATCACCAATAATACATTTTTGTTTGATCCAAGAAAGACGTGCTTTTATGCAGCAGATTGTCATAAATACCTTAATGCAACTAGGCAGTCAAAGCAGATTTAATCGCTGAAAAGGCTTCTGTATAGCAGCGAGAAGGGTCTGGGCTAGCTGGAGAGCATAATTATCAAGGTTAATGGTACACATATAAAAAATAAAACTGGGCTGAGGATGTGTTTGGCATTGGTCTGGTTAGACCTAGTGGTGCTGAGACTGGAGTTCGGGTGGCAGGATGTTAATAACTGTGGAATAGTGTTTAATTAGACAACGACTTCCTTTCTCGCCTCTTCCCAGCACTTCAGCCACCCACCCCCACCCCCGCCTGTCTCCCTCTCACACTATTCTGACATCCCTGGCAGCTCAGGTCATTACCGAGGATTTTTAATGAAGTTTGGGCTTGTTTTTCTGTCTGCCTTACATCTAATTAGCTGACAATAATGTATCGAAATTGAGCACGAGCTAAATATAAATATGCATGAATATGCAGCGATAGAGAGGATGACACCTCGCTGTGCAGAGTAGCGTGGAGTCGTTCTTGCCTTCCCTGTTAGTTGCAGTTCAGATCAGAGAGTCGACAACAGAACCTTTCAACTCTGCAGACACTTTGTACACTTTCACAGAGCCAGGCACTAATTATCTGGCAAACTCTACTGTGCCTGCTTTTTGCTTCAAACGGCACACTCTCATGAACTGTGAGGCTTACCATGTTGAGCAGCGCCTAAAGCTACCATGGATTCATAAACAAATATGACAAACCTGAGCCCACTTAGAGTGTGTTTTCAGCACCACTGACACATAAAGTTTATTGATCCTGGTAGCTAAAGCAAAAGTCATGTGACTAACTGTGAGACGACACACAGAAGTAATAGATTTAAACTTTCGCAGACTGTAAATTTACAAGAATGAGAAAGAAAAACAAATCAAAATCAATCAATTTAACTGATGGCGGCAAAACAAACAAACAAACAAACAAACAAAAAAAAAACAGAGGCATTATTTCCATACCTTCAGCTACTTCCAAATTTCAAACACAAGCTTTCATTTTAAAATCAGAAAATGGCAGAGCCTTAAATTCCTACCTGCTATGGTGTTGAGAAACATGAGGTACTCAAAGTTGGAGATTTCTCTTCTTTGCCAGCGTTGGGTCATGTTGGAAGATTTGAAAAGTTGTCGTGGAGTTGCCAGTGAGATACGTCTGATAAAACATTTAGAAAGACAAACAAAAACTTAGATTCACAGAACTTTATGTTAACTGGTTTGTTTTTCATGTAAAAAAGCAGGAGTCATATTGTTTTCTTACGGTTTATTTATTATGACCGCCACACGTGAAGCAGTGGTCATATTGTTTTTGTACTGTATATTTAATTCTCTTTTATTTTTTTTTTACAAGATTTCAACTGTAGGACAGAAACGGTTGCACCGATCAACATGAAATTTGGTAAAAATGTAGTGGATGTGCCTGACCTACACTGCACCAGCCAATATTATAGATCCCATATTTGAGGAAGGGACTTCATCTAAATTGGGGTTGTCTGGACATACAAAAATGCTTATAACTCAAAAACTAGTCAACATAGGAGCTTCAGACTTTTTTTTATTGTAACTCTGATGAAGGACTATCCATCAGTGTGCGCCCCCTACAACTTCCGGACCCCCATTCAAAACAACAAATCTATTCTGATGACTTCTGAGTTTTGGTGCATTGGTGCTTTGCATATGTGCGGGTGTCATATAGGCTAGTGCTATGCTAGTGATTTGAAGCTTTGTCTTCGCCAAATATTTCATGAATGTTAACAAATTCGAAAGATTTGCAAGTTTCCATAAACACATATTAGCTTAAAATCAATTAGTTGCAGTTGTTTTTTAGTAATGCACATGTAATGCATGGAAAGTATGTTGGGAATGTTTCCAATCAAATAAATCTTACGTTTAAAGCAAACGTGTTAAGAAATAATTAACAAATTATTCAGCTGCTTTAAGACAAATTCTGTGTAATTCATACAAGATTAAAATTTTATTTCTTGGCCCATAGAGTCAGATTAATCTAAGACATACTAAATATTTTAAAGCAATAAATACATAAATAAAATAATGTATTGGAATCAATATTCCCCATTTAACAATTGACATCATAAAAAATAATTCAGTGGTTACTAATCAAGCTTGTGTACCAGGTCAGTTTTAGGTCAGAGTACAAAAACTTTTTGCTACAAACAAATAAAAAAACAGTTATTTAATGTTGCCCAGGTTTTTTTCTAGTAAATTAAATGTCACCAGAGTATTAATTAGGACTCCTTAAATAGGGCGGTTTGCTTTCTATCCACTCGGTGTGATTGTTTTGCAGCAGTAAATAAAAAGGCCTGTTAGCACTGTGAGAGTCTAAAGGGAAAGTGTTTTTTTCCCTGTGGCCATTGGCCTGGCCACAGCCCTGCTGTATAGTCTTCTGTCAGAGAATTGGGTCATTTCAGTCAGGGTCAGTGGACTTTCACGTCGATGAATGGAGCAATGGGACTCCAAATAAACTCTGCTGTTCAAGGCTGAACAGATGCATCACAACACAACACAACACAGTGGATGTTACTGTGGTCAGCTGTGAATCACAATACAACAGATATTCAACAAGGCTCCCCTGGTTTGTACCCCTGGTATCCTTCCTACCTGGCTTGAGGAAGACCATAGCTGGTGCCCACTCCCACTCGAGGGAGGCAGTAGACCACTTTCTTTACTGTGGCCTGGTCAGGAAAGTTGAACATAACAGAAGCTGCAGATAGTGGAAGATGAGACATAATATATTTAAAAAAAAGAGAAAACAAACATGTTCAAAACTTAAGTGCTTCTGTTGGTGCTTTACGTACTTCTATTGGCCATAAAGACTTCGATTGCAGTGTTCTGCAGAAGGTAGCGTCTAGAGAAGACAGCTCGGATTTCACTGAACATCCACTTCCCATGTAAACCCTCAGTGTATGCCAAGACCTGAAAATGAAGGAAAAAAAACATCTACCGGTAGTCAATGTGATCTATTTGCTGCAATAAATAAATTCACAAAGAGATTGGGGACAGTTACATGAAACTATAAAAAAGATGTCCTTGTTTTTTTTATTCAAGGTAATTGGAATCATCAAACTGTGATTCTGCATTATTATAACTAAAGTGAAAAGATCCTCCTATTAGGATTTATTTAAATGAAGTAAAGCTATGGATTTATTGCAGTTATTTAATTCTTTAGGTAGATAACTTAATATGTTTTGCTAGATTTTATCATTTACAGAATGGAATTATTTTGAAAAATTGAAAATTGAATGAACTGGACTTTTCACATCTGTATTTAAAAGTGAATGTAACTGGACAGAGCTATAAAATGAATAATTAAGATCAACTGAGTTGGATTTAGTAAAATCAAATGAACTGAATTAGATTCAGTCTGGATGTGTTTGTTTTATTGTTTAGGGTATATTTTGTTGTGAACTGGCACCATAAAATTAAACTGAACAGAACTGAATTAAAGCAATTCTCAGCCATGCTGTTATCTAGGCACTGAAGAAATATATGAGTCAACTGTTTTTCCAAACTGTATAGTAGCACAAACAGTAAAACAAATCTCAAGCAAACAATGGGTTTGTTCAGCAGATGTTTTTTTATTATTTAAAAAATGAACATGTAGCATTTTTCTTTGTTGTTTTTTATTTGCCAAGAGACTGAACAGTGTCCTAGTTTACTCATCCCAGCTGTGATTCAAACTGTCGAGAGAATTTCTCTTCTCATTAGGCTACCAAAATCATCCTAACTTTATCTGAAGGCTGAAATTGCCAGGAACCACAACACAAAATTATCTTAGTGAAACCAGGGTGATCAAAAATTCCGTTTATCACTGCTAGTTTGTTCATGCATTTCAACCAACAACACAGAATTAGACAGACATTATAACATATCTCAAGGCATGTTTCAACAAAACATTCACGTGTCAGCAGATTCACTTTCACACTTTTTCTCCTCATCTTTTCTGTAACAAAAGAAAGTGGTCAAAGAAAGCGCCCTCTGGGTCAGTGACATAAATAATCAATAGAAAAGAAGAAAAAAAAAGGGGAAGAGCAAAGACAAGAAATCAGTGTAACCAGCACTGCTGGGACAAAAGGTCCACATACAAAAAAATCAAGACAATTGTTCTGAGAGGTGAGAATGATCCTCCTCACACACCTTTTCCTCTTCCTTCCATCTCACCGAACAATTGTGTCCAACAGAATGAGCCGTGAGAAATGTCATCAACTCACCGGGTTATAATCACTCAGTTCAGAGAGAGGTATGTAAGAGAATAAAGATATAACATGGCAGTAAAGGTGTGAGATTTTAAAGCACATCAGTAAGTGTGTGTGTGTGTGTGTGTGTGTGTGTGTGTGTGTGTGTGCAGGGAGTGTGTGTGGCCGAGGTGGAGTGGGCAGGGAGGGGAAAGAAGCAAATCAAGATGGTGCGCTGGGTTAGGTCTGATGCTAATGCTCATTTAAAATAGTGACAGGCTGGAAGAGTGCAGCGCGAGCTGGGCCGCCTTAATTTCTCCCTGGAATAGCTCGTGCCCGACCTCCGTGCCACAGCCAAAATCTCTGGAGCTCAATTAAAATTGGATTAGGTAGAGATGCTGGATGTGCAGCGCAGCATCTCTGGTGCTCTTCTTACTAGTAATGCCCCTGCTTGACACCTCTGCACCCCCCCCCCCTTCCTCAAACAGTTGTCATAGAGACAGCACAACCCTGAGGAGGCAGCAGGCAGAGAGGAGAGAGAAAGATAGAGGAGCGAGATGGAGGGATGGCTGTGGAGCAGCAGGAGGGTTGCTGAGGGTCAGCAGCGTCTCTCTAGGAGGTAGGGCAGCGTTTTTACCCTACTTTCACTCTGCAGCCAGATGTTCTGGCAGCAGATTTCTGAGTGCGGCGCTGAAGGCACACAGATGTGCAATCACTCAAAGGCCACAACAATTTACTCCATCAGTAGATTGGCAAGCTGTTTGATGTCTAGAGACTCAGAATCGTTGGTGATTTCAAGCAGTTTCTGTTAATTGTCCCGCTTCACCATTTGTTATTGTTGCCCACTGCTTAAGGCAAAACCTTAACTGTGTCTGCATTTGTCCAAACTGTTAACAAAATATCACATGAACCACCAGATTTCAATGAAATTTAAAAATATTTGTATTGATATCTACAAGTGATTAAGGTCCTGATGCATCTCAGTAATCCAGGTAGAAAAAAATCAAAAAGAAAAAATAAGTAGGTCCTCTGAATGGGTTCTTCTTTAGTGAAACGTTTAGTCTCTCCTTCAAGAGACTTCCTCAGTCTGATGAGTTTCAGGTGAACTTATAAGCACTGCCTCCACATGGACAAACAGGTTAGTCACATGCAAAAGAGGGCCATCACCTAACAATAGGCTTGATTAGCTCTACTGTTCATAGAGACTTAAGGCTGAGTTCACCTGAAACTCTTCAGACTGAAGAAGTCTCTTGGAGGAGAGACGAAACGTTTCACTAAAGAAGAACCATCCAGAGGAACTACTTATTTTTTTCTTTTTGATACAACTGATCAACTTTAGCAGTTGAGTGGATTCAAGATGGCCGCCACTGCTAATTGACCTCATAAACAAAATAGTAGCAGCAGTCATTTACAACAGATCATGTTGGATACTGAAATATCACATGAGATCATGCATAAAGTCACTTTCATAGTTTGATCAAAACAGAACTCCAACATTTATTAAAACAAGATTATTTTAGTCTAAAGCTCTGACATGAAAGGCGGCAGGGGGTGTGCCTTTAAAGGTGTTTCTCATTTGTTGAATCCTTCACCCATCCATTCACTTTCTATACCTGTTTAATCCAGTTCATGGTCACTGGGGTTCACAGGTCACAAGTTGTACCACGTGTACTTACACATGGAGTATAATTTTCTTTACAAAGATTCATAAAAGTAGAGTTTAGAGTTGTCACCATACACACTTGCAACTTTGCAGCACTGAATTGATTATCGATATAATATTTTAGCACTTGCATTTTCTCGACGTCCAGCTAATGTGAACAGCTTGCTGCTGTGACAAAGTGCAGGCCAAAGGGCCTTCCGTCAACAAAAGAGAGGCTAAAGAGGAGAAAAAAAAGCTTATTTCAAACGGCCCAGATCAAGAAAAAAAAATGTCATAACAACAAAGCTTTGGTCTGAACTAACATGCAGGGGCCCCTGTAGACTTGGGGATTTGACAAAGCCCAGCCCTCATTTTTAGAGGCCCAGCTGTAAAAAATGCCATTTAATGAACCTGTCTGCTGAAGCTGTCCCCTGCCTGTCAGAGGTGTCAGGCAGTGACAAGCGCTGGGGACGGCCGCCTCCAGTCACAGACAGGCCTGCCAGCTGGAGACTTCGGCCCCAATCTAATCACACCACCAGGAAGGGACCAGCGCTCTGCTCTTGGTCTGTCATGCTCAGTGCTGGGGGAGCAGGAAGAAGGGTGGGTGAAGGGATCCGGTATGGTCGACAAGCACAGCCTTTTGTTTCCACACAGGTCCCTGAATGCTAGGCTCATTAGAAGACACAGGCGCATGCGCCTCTCTGCCAGCTGCAGGGGGACACACCTCTCCATTATAATAGCCATAATGCAATTTAACATGTCGATCCTCTCCCTCTGTTGTTTCCTTTTTCCTTTTTTTTTTACCCCCCTTGATTTGACAGGCTGTAGAAAAGTATTGGAGAAAAATGTGAAATATTGTGACAGCTAAGATGAGGAGAGGCACAGGTGACACTGGTGTTTAGGCTGAAACTCATACAGTAATGTGCAGATGCTCAAATGAAGCACAACTTGCTTGTAAGCCAATGGATGCCACTTCTTGCATGGAAATAGATTCTAATCATATCTGACTTCCGAAAAGCTTTCTCGCCATATTGACAGAGACACAATGACAGATGTTATTAATAAATCTAACGAAGCATTCTTTTTAAAATCTGATGTAATTTTGTCCCATAAGGAACAATGCAATCCCCTTCACTGCGTTTATACCAAAAATAGGAAACTAATATAATTCAGGGAGACCTCCAAGCCTGCATGACTGATATATTTATATGAGACTGTGGAGCACACTGACAACCTGGTATCACAGCACTTCTGCTGCATTCTTCTCCGATTTGTCTAATAGGCTTCCACTGTAAAGCTTCACAACTGCACAGTCCCAGGTGGCCATAGAGAACAGTGATGTGGAAGAATAAGGGGAGGATATGGGGGGCTGTTTCATTTTGAGTGATATGACTACTCCCCCAGGAGCAAGTGGGATGGATTTCACACATGGCAATTTGGAGGATCAGCACACACTGCTATACTGTATTCAATTGCTGACCCTAGGCAATATGGGCCAAATCTGTGAAAAGGTTGAGCAATCAGGAAAGCCAAAGAAAAAACATAAAGCCCGGTAACAGGGAGGGCAGGGAACAGCACGGAAGAAAATGAAAGAAGATTGTCAGCCAAAGATATGGTGGTGAATGGCATCACAAATTAAAGTGCAAGCATTCCTTGAATTTATGCATATCATTTAACACTTCTCATGCATGAGTTTAAGACCAAAATCATCTTGTGTCGAGGAAAGATGGAGTTGTAGCTTTTTTGGTCAAACTTACATGAACGGTCTCTTGCAACATTAAGAGATGTCATGCTCAAATTATTAGTTGTAAATGGCTTTCAGCAACTGCCTCACCTAATTTTAGCTCAGTATCTGTAAAAATGATTGACTTACAGCCAGTTTTTGTGTTTTTAAGGTCAGTTAACTGTGGCAGCCATCTTGGATTACACAGACACCAAAAGGCAATCAGGTGTAAATGTGTATACAATGAAGAATTCTAAATTCCATTTCTAGAACGCACAGACATGAGCAAAAACACCGCTATCTGCTGCCTTTCAAAGGTAGGTTGATAAAAATAATAAATCTACATAAATTTAAAAGTAAAACACAAAGTTTGACA